CAATGTTAACATAATACAAGTAAACAGTTATTGTATTTAAAAGGACATTAAAGGACTTTCAGAGCCTGGTTTATTAAAGGGACAGTTACATCTGGAAAGTGTTTTGCGTTCACTTAACTCCATCACTTCTGGAGATTTCCTAGGATTTCATTTTGTCAATGATGCCATCTGTTTGCCAGAGAACTCTTTGCAGATTCTATGCAGGAGGGTGCCAGGAGTCACTCTGTCTCCTAGCAAACGCATTCCCTAGAATGTACACCTCATTTAAATAAATATTTCCTGGTGCCAAATACATCTTGGATGTCTTTTGCTGGACAAGTTTGAAATGTTCATCACACCTCAGAGTGTTAGATGTAAAGATGTACATCATGAAAGCAACAAAAAGAGTGTTTTCTTAAGAAGAATACCGTGTTACCACATTATAAGAACTTGTAATTTGTTGTTTCATTTTGTCTTCAGCTATCGGAGTTATATGCTTGACAATGGCTGTATCTGGAGGTACTGGAGTGACAGAGAACATGTGAAGGCTTGAGTTTAGAACTACAGAGATAAAGTAACTTTTGGTCTTCCAGTATGAGAGGGAGGAAAGGAAAGAGACTTTGAAGATGATTTATAGAGTCTTAACTCTTTCACGGTGCATTTCCATACAGGACCCAGGAGAAATAATGGCACCTGTCTAGAATGTTTGTTGCCACAAAATGTAAAGACAGTACTGCCAAGGCCTCTATTAATCAGGACATTTATATATAATGGTGGGCTTGTCCAAACCAGCAGTATTTAATGGCCAGAGTCGTGAGAGTGCTGTACTGAAATAAAAAAGTACATAAATAATAAATAAACCAAACTCTAATTCTTTTGGTAGACTGTTTAGTACAGATATGTACAACTCCAAATTCAAATCCAAAAATATGAAGCCCTAAAACAAGAAAGCTCTTAAAATAGATGGTGTTCTACTCTATTCTCACTGTTTATGTCAATTTTAGGTATCTACAGACCCCCAATAATGGTTGTGTCTGGCTCAGACACAATCTTCACGCCTTTTGGTAACAGAAGACATCAGTAGACATTCCCATATGACTTTTCTTTGAGTAGCTAGTGAATAGCTGATGTGGATGTGGGAATCAGCAAATTGCAGAAGAATATTTCCAATGGCCAGCAAACATATACTGTAGAACCCTCAGTATACATCATTAAAGCAACCCAAAGGTTGTTACCTGCAGCAACTGCTTCAGTAAAGGTAAACAGACAAGTCATTAAAATCCAAAGATATACTTATAGATTAACTAATTTTTGAATGATGAAAGCCTTGAAAACATGAGCCTATAGGGTGGGTTCTGCAGCACATTGTAAGCCATGATAAATGTGGCAGCTACACTTTCACTATTGGGTTTATTTACTAAAGCTGGAGAGTGTAAAATCAGGCTTACTTTTTCATTGAAACCAGCTTCCAGGTTTTGTTGCAAAAGCTTAACTGAACAAGCTGAGGTTAGAAGCTGACTGGTTTCTATGCAGTAGTGAGCCTGATTTTACACTCTCCAGCTTTAGTAAATAAAGTGGCATGTAATAGAAAATCAACAAGCAAAGATATGTAAAGAGTGGAGGGGGGAGGGGGGGTGCTCGGGTTAGTTCATCTGTCAGGTTTTTATAGCTGCTTCTGTCCCCATTAATAGATTAATTCTCTCAAATTATCCTGATCACAAATGTCATCAGGTGTGAAAGTAAGGGTAAATCCAAATGTTGAGTAGCTACCAGAACAGGATTACATGGAAAAGATTCCAATGGGAACACTTGTTCCTGTGACAAAAATCCAAAACAGGAATTCCCACACATTTAAAAAAATCGCCTTTTCACTTTTCTGTTGAGTCTACAAAACAGGAAATGAAGGGAAATCTCCCTAATGGGGCACAGAGAGCAAAATAAAAAAACTTGAGGGTGATGATGGTCCTCGAAGAATGTTTATATTTTGTACACTATAGTGCCTATTTATAAATGTTTTCACACAAATTTCATTTATTTTTTTAAATTGTATTCAGTTGGAAAATTGTATGAATCCTGGGTGCAAATTATGTGAATGTTGTAAAAAATATAAATAGACCCTTATGAGATTGTTGTGAGCTGATTACAGTCTTCCTTTGTATATGACTAACTATAACTCTTTGGGATGTTATAGATACCAGGGACATTACTGTTGATTTTTGTAAAACATTCTAAAGAAAACCAACATAAATGAAGGGGGGTAGACTTCTGTAGAGAGTGTAACACAGCTTGGTAGAATAAAGTTACAAAAATAGTTTATTGTTAAATGGTAGCACCCTCCTAGATAGGTTCTAGGATTAGATAGATACAATTAGATGTGTTTTTAATAGGTACATTTAGTTGTCACTCTGTGGTCAGAGTGGCTAGTCAGGCTGATCCAGCCTGGGAGAGGGCACATTGCCCTCCCAGGCATCTACTGCCATGAGGCCTCAGGTGGGCGACCTGAGAGCCTGAATGTTGAGACCCAGGTTCTGCTATGATGACTGTCTACTGAGGAACTGGTCTGGTATCATGGAGGAAGGCATCCAGCTGCTCTTGGGCCTTTTAAGTACAGACATCCCTTAAGGATCCTAGAGAATGAGTGCTGTTTAACCTCCTATGGTGCTAGGAAGTCAGTTGCGGGTATAGCAAAAAGGGAACACCATATGATGTTTCGAAAAGCTTTGTCCACCTGGCTTACTTTTAAAGGACACTGCTCTGGGGCTCTAAAGAGGTTACTACTGCTACTACTTTCTACTACTGCCTTAAATCTGCTGTTAAGTCCACTGTTTGTTCATGTTTGATTTTGCTCTGAAGATTAGATAAAGTCCTCAAGTATACATAGTTCATATTTTTGGAGTATTCCACTCATCTCCCTCATCCCTATCCAAGTTTTAAAAAAAAAAACCCCAAAAAAACAACACCAATAGATTGGTTATTGAAGAAATGTGTGAATGAGCCTATGTGCCTGGCTGCAGGGCAAAGTAACTGGGGGAGGATCTAGATAGTATGCCTTTGGCTCCTACAGGAGTAGCACTAGAAAATTTACAGGTAATATTCATGATAATAACTGGCATATATCAAAATGGAGACTGTAAAAATCCTAAAGAAGTAAAAACATTGTGCCAACCTTAAATAATTTACCAGACCACAAGACAGAGCCATACACAACCATGCTGCCTCTAGTACACCTTCTGTATTACTATTGTGGAAGCAGAGTAGCTTGGAGTTTAGCGAGTTGTATGTCACATACCTACCATGGACTGTGTCTGCTTGGACTACTTCATTTTGTCTTTAAATCAAAGAATTCTGCTAAGCGTGTGCTTTTTGTGCTTGTGGAAAGCTTATAAGTTCCTCCAGGGCAGGTACTTATGTGAATGTTTCTATGTGCACTGCAAGTAATATCTTAGTTTTCTAAAACAGGTGAAATAAATAAATAGGTAACCCTCATTTGTGTTTTATTTGCTCCTTTATTTTTTTTATTATTTAAGTATATTGCATGCATTTAGCAAAAATCTTCTGTGTCGGTATGCCAGTTTCATTTTACCCAGTACCTTTACCTTTATCTGGGACCAGGGGCGGACTGACCATTTGGAAACTTGGGCACTGCCCGAGGGCCCGGGGTCAGTAGGGGGCCCCATGAGATGCCCCTGGTACCTTTTTCATAGGTGTTTTTGAGTTTGGGCAAGGACACAGGGGCCCCATGATCCCCTATTGCCCGGGGGCCCCATGAGTTGTCAGTCTGCCCCTGTCTGGGACAATCAACAATTCTGATATTGTGCACTGAAAAAAAGTTATTTGACAATTCAGTTCCTGGCTTGCTCTGAATCAAAAGCAAAGCACAATTCAAATTAGTTTTCTTGGTTCTTCTGGAGCCTCAGCTATACTCCGGACTTACTCAAGGGCATAACACAATAATGTGAGGCTTGTCCAAATATGAGGTCACAATCCCCAGAGTTAGGGAATAGGAGATGTGGACCAGCTACAACACTCCAATATGAGTTCAGAAATGTGAATTAAAGGATTAGTTCACCTTTACCAAAAAACTACCTATGCAGATAAGGAATGTCTGTAGATGGAAACAAGCTGTGTAGATTTGGTCAAAATTGAATAATGGCCTTGATATTTGTGTAGGTCGTTTCTGTACCTCATAAAGTCTGACCTGAAAATTCCCAGGACATTGCTAGGACATTGCTAAGCGAGGACCAGCTATTGCTGTTCACCTTCACCATCACAGGAGCAAGCGTTTTTTCTGATTCAAACCCCCTTGCACTCCACTGATGCAGTAGCTCTGAGCCCAGAGTTGAGAACTCACTCCTCACTCCTAAAGGTGAGCAGTAATAGCTGAGCCTGTCTTAGCAACATCATAACAATGTCCTGGGAGTTTTCACGTCAAGATTCAGGCCACCTATATCAAGAGCAATATTCAACTTTAGTCAAAGCTGTGAGTTTTTATCTACAGACTCCTCTTATCTGCATAGGCAGCTTTTTTTTTAATAAAGATAAACTAACCCTTTTAAAGGCTAACCTGAAAACCTTAATAAAAATTGTGTCAAAACACTACTTTTCCTTAACCACTAGCCTACAGTGCACTTATACCCCCTTCCTGCCCAGGCCAATTTCCAGCTTTCAGCGCTGTCACACTTTGAATGACAATTGCGCAGTCATGCAACACTGTACCCATATGAAATTTGTATAATTTTTTTGAGACAGATAGAGCTTTCTTTTGGTGGTATTTAATCACCTCTGGGATTTTTATTTTTTTCTTAAACAAACCAAAAACCACTGAAAATTTTTTTTTTAAAAAAGTTTATTCTTAGTTTTTGTTATACAATTTTGTAAATAAGTGATTTTTCTCCTTCACTGATGTGCGCTAATGAGGCTGCAGTGATGGGCACTGATAGGCTGCACTGATGGACACTAATAGGTGGCACTTATGGGCACTGACGAGGAGGCACTGGTAGGTTTCACTGATAGGCATTGACAGGCATCACTGATGGGCACTGAAAGGCAGCACTGATACATGACACTGATATATGGCATTGATAGGCGGCACTGATAGGTGGCACTGACTGGCACTGATAGGCGGCACTGACTGGCACTGATAGGCGGCACTGGCTGGCACTGATACGCACTGATAGGCAACACTGGCTGGCACTGATAGGTGGCACTGATTGGCAGCACTGATAGGTGGCACTGATTGGCATTGATAGGTGGCACTGACTGGCACTGATGGGTGACATTGAAAGGCAGCTCAGATGGGCACTGATATGTGGCATTGATGTGCACTGGTCTGCATTATTTGGCATTGATGTGGCACTGATGGGCACTGGCACGTGGCACTGATGGGCACTGGCACGTGGCACTGATGGGCACTGGCACGTGGCACTAATGGGCACTGACAGGTGGCACTTCTGGGGCCACACTGATCATCAGGGCACACTGATCATCAGTGCCCTGATGATCAGTGTACATGTCCCCTCCGCGGAAAGCCGATTACCGGTTCTCCACTCGAGCTGTCAGCGTGACAGTTCGTGAGGAGAGAAACGCCGATAACCGGCATTTCCGTGTTTACATGTGATCAGCTGTGATTGGACACAGCTGATCACATGACCGAGCCGACATCTTCAGGTCTTTCCGTGATCCGCTTTGTCTGAGGGACACAATGCACCGGCGATCGCCGCACTGCGTGCTCCCTGAGCTGCGCATGTGCAGTGAGAATGGTAGGACGTTATATGACGTCCTATCAGAACGAGAGAACCACCTTGCGCCCGTCATTGTACTATAGGGCAGGCGGAAGGTGGTTAAAGGTTATATACCAAAAATTGCAATTAAAATGTTACATAAAGATAATATTTTAAGTTAGATTTCTTAACAATCAATTTAAACCTATCCTAATAATCAATCTAAAAACCTTATGCCAAGGTTTTTAAATACCATTAAAGAGAAACTATGGTTATTTCTTAATACTGTAGCCAGGGGCGGACTGACCATTCGGAAACTCGGGCACTGCCCGAGGGCCCAGGGTCAGTAAGGGGCCCCATGATATGCCCCTGGTACCTTTCACAGGCTTTTTTGGGTGTGGTTTGAGTGTGGGTGAGGACACAGGGGCCCCATGATCCCCTATTGCCCAGGGGCCCCATGAATTGTCAGTCCACCCCTGACTGTAGCTGCTGACTTTTAATAAGGAGACACTTACCAGTCCAGGAGTCCAGAGCTGTCCTCACCCAATCCTGTTCTTCACCAGCCTTCCAGTACACGGAGTCGCCATTTTGACTTTGGAAGTTGGCTGTGATTTCTTGTTGTTTTGCGGCTAGCCCCCACTGTGCATCCGTGATATGTGCTGTGCTTTGAGATGGGCCCCACAGCCTCCTGGAACACTTCACTTTGCAGGCATAAAGGAAGTGGGCAGAAATTCCATAGTTCTTATCTAGGAAGTGGGAGCAGGTACCTGTCAGAAACAGGACAGAAACCTGTCAGAAACAGGTACTTGCTCCCAGGAAAAAGAGGAGTGAGTGAGTTATAAGTGAAGTTCCGCTTGAAAAGTTGCAATAGTAGGTTTATTTCAATCCATTTCACTGAAATATATACAAAGAAAGAAATTTAAAGCTGAACGTGAGGCAATCATTATTTACTACAGAGATTAAATAATTTTCAAAAACAATAGGACTGCAAGGCTTCTATGGTATGGAACTATTTGGTATATATGAAACATCCTAGCCAAAAACTAGCAAAACCTGTCTTATATAATTACTACAAGTTAATTAAATAATCAATCTCTGCCCTGTTTTAGGGAACTGTGATATACAATTGAAATACATACGTGAGGCAATCAGTTTACTACAGAGATTAAATAATTTTCAAAAACAATATCGACTCCAAGGCTTCTATGGTATGGAACTACCTGGTATATATGAAACATCCTAGCCTAAAACTAGCAAAACCTGTCTTATATAATTACTACAAGTAAATTAAAAAAAAGCAATCTCTGCCCTGTTTTAGGGAACTGTGATAAACAACTGAAATACATATATTTCAACTATCTCACCTACCTAAATATTTGTATTTCTGTATTTTACCACTTTTGTGATCAAGGCACCACTGTTAAAAACAATGCCCAGGCTGGTGAGCTTACTTTTCCTCTTCTTCAGTTAGGAAATATAGCCCGGTCACCGCCCCACCCCAATCTGTGATAGGGCAATAAAAGAATAACATCACACTGATAACTGTGCATACGTCAATATTTCATTGCAAGCTTGTTTGACAGGGTGATGACCAGGGGCAGACTGACAACTCATGGGGCCCCCAGGGCAATAGGGGATCATGGGGCCCCTGTGTCTCAAAAAAGCCTATGAAAAAGTTACCATGGGCATCTGATGGGGCCCCCTACTGACCCCGGGCCCTCGGGCAGTGCAAGAGTTTCCAAATGGTCAGTCCACCCCTGGTGATGACATAGAAGAACAACTGAGAGTCAGGTACAGGAGTGTTGTCACTCTCTACCAGAAAGTGCCTGGGGGGCAAAGATATTTATGACAGGGTGGTCACCAGGTATATAAAAACAACAGATTTAAAAATTACAAACATTACTTTTAAATGACAGTAACTTGGTAATACTAATATGAGATTGTAGTGTTTGGATTCACATTTACTTTAAGCTGTTGTTAACAACACTGCAATATCTGGTGGTTCTCAATATTAGCTAGTGAAACCATTAACTGCAACAAATGGTAGAGAAACCATTTTAACTATATGCAAACCTTTACTGAATAGGTGGTTAACTTGGTTTTGTGAGCACATTTTACTTTACATTTGAAATGTATATAATATACTTTGAGAGCAAATATTAATTCCTACATTTTAAAAAGAATTACAGCATAATGATAAAATGTCAAGTCAAATATATATACAGTTGTGACCAAAATTATTCAACCCCCACTGAAATTGAGTGTTTTGGCCAGTTTGACATTGCTTTTGATCATTCAGTCATCTTGCTTACATTTACATTAAAGAGGCACTTGTAGGTCAGACAAATATAACATAACAGTTATAATGAAATAACCACAAATGTCTTTTGTGCTCACAGCATTATCAGTTTTATTCAACCCCCAAGTGACATTCAATCTTAGTACTTAGTACAGCATCCTTTTACAGTTATAACAGCTTTTAAAAATAAACGTGAAGCATAGCTTGACACAAGTGTCTTGCAGCGATCTACGGGTATCTTCGCCCATTCTTCATGGGCAAAGGCCTCCAGTTCAGTCACATTCTTAGGCTTGCGCACTGCAACTGCTTTCTTTAAGTCCCACCAGAGGTTCTCAATCGGATTTAAGTCTGGTGACTGCGATGGCCACTCCAAAATGTTCCAGCCTTTCCTCTGCAACCATGCTCTAGTGGACTTGGAGGTATGCTTGGGATCATTGTCCTGTTGAAAGGTCCAACGTCTCCCAAGCCTCAGGTGTGTGACGGACTGCATCACGTTTCCATCCAATATCTCCTGGTACTGAAGAGAATTCATGGTACCTTGCACACGCTGAAGCTTCCCTGTACCTGCAGAAGCAAAACAGCCCCAAAGCATGATTTTGACCCTCCACCATGCTTCACAGTAGGCAAGGTGTTCTTTTCATCAAAGGCCTTGTTCTTCCTCCTCCAAACATAGCGTTGATCCATGGGCCCAAACAGTTCTAATTTTGTTTCATCAGTCCACAGAACACTATCCCACAACTTTTGTGGTTTGTCCACATGGCTTTTGGCATACTCTTCTTATTCTTTGGAGACAGCAAGGGGGTACGCCTGGGAGTTCTGGCACGGAGGCCTTCATTACGCAGTGTGCGTCTTATTGTCTGGGCTGAAACTTCTGTACCCACATCTGACAAATCTTTTCTCAGTTCCTCAGCAGTCACACGGGGACTTCTCTCCACTCTACGCTTCAGGTAGCGCACAGCAGTCGAAGTCAGCATCTTCTTTCTGCCACGACCAGGTAGCGTTTTCAACAGTGCCCTTTGCCTTGAATTTGCGAATGATGCTTCCTAAGGTGTCTCTTGGTATGTTTAACATCTTTGCAATCTTCTTATAGCCATTGCCCTTCCTGTGAAGAGAAATCACCTCTTCTCTTGTCTTCCTGGACCATTCTCTTGCCTTCACCATGTTTGTAACCACACCAGTAAATGTCTAGAAGGAGCTGAGTATCACAGTCATTTTAAAGCTGCCTAATTGGTGCTTATTATGCTTGATTGCTGCTCGGTGACATCCACAGGTGTTTTCAATACCTGATGGAAAGCACCTGTATGAACCTCTGTTCTTCAGAGTGGTAGTCTTTAAGGGGTTGAATAATTGTGGCAATGAAGAAACCACATAAGAACCATTTACTACTGTATTACATAAACAATTGATGTCATTTTAGTTGCATTTGGGTAGTTACAACGTCCTTGTAGGATTTGATTCTGAATACAATTCCAAATGTACACTATAGTCCCTAAACCCCTTTACAGCATTGGGGGTTGAATAATTTTGGTCACAACTGTATATATATATATATATATAAAAATAACATTATTGTTATTATTATACAGGATTTATATAGCGCAAACTGTTTGCTCAGCGCTTTACAATATAATAAATATATATATATAATCGCAGTAGAGTGTTAAGCAATGGAAGATAAACAAACAAGTGTCTATGATGCTGTGCTTAGGCATAACAATTTTGACCTTTTTTTTAGGGATTATCTGAGTTTGGAGACCACAACATAGAGAGAAAGAGTAATTCCCCAAACACAAATTCCAGTTTAGCTAAGCAAAATCTTGGCAAGGTGTTGACATTTTTGCACAAATATTTGAATTCACTTATTTTCACAGTATGAAAGAAAAATCATAGTTCTAGCTGACTGGTACAAGAAAAGCAAATCGAAAAGAATGCATGCAATAATTGTTGCGTATTCCCCTACGACCGATGTTTAGGAATGCTCCTATTGAAAATTATGTTTAGTATAAGAAACGTCTACAAAATGCTACAAGAAGAATAAGGCTCCATCTAGACTATGACAGAAGTCTTGGAAGCAAATACATTGTGCTGAGAGCCAAGGATTAGGGGCTACTCTTTCCACATTAACTGCGGAGAAAGCAAAACCAGTGTACATAGCTTGGAAATTATAAAAGGAAGTAAATCTATCAAGGTAAATCCATTTGGGAATACAATTAAGCAGAAACTGGGGGAGAGCACAATAGGAGCCAGATTCTAAAAGGCCCCCACCGTTGATTGACAATGGCCAGGCTTGCAGAGCCAGAAACAGCAGCGGACGAGGAAAAGAAATGAAAGGAGTAAATGTGATTTGTAGGAGACTCAGAACAGGAAAACAAATCAATGTAAATTCATTTCGGCTTGCGGGGATT